CAAAACAAAAACCCCTTCAAGAACATTAGCATGGCCCTTGAGCAAGGATGAGACACAAATTCGTGAAGCGTTCCATATTTTTTTGAATGTGGTTGATGTGCTTCCTGTAGAAGAGAAAATATAGTAATCTTAAACTGGCAGAGGCCACTATGGGAAGGGGACCAGGAAGTAGTGAAGAGGTCTGGTAGAGATGAACCAATTCGGGTTGTAATACACATGTGCATGGAAGCAACGCTAGGAATCTCTCTGTATAGCTATCTTCATCTCAAACCAGCAAAAATGCTATGTTTTTCCTATTATCTCTCATGTTTTCTCTTCAACAAAATCAGAGAATAAGGGGGCAGAATGAGTTCTGCCCGGAAGCGGGAGGCAGGGGAAGAGAGGAGGTGGCCCAAGTAATGTATACACAGGTAAGTAAATGTAAACACAATAAAAAAAAATGAAATGAAACAAAACGTTGAAAGGATTTTCAAAACTTTACCACTAGTTATACTTAAATGATATTAAACAAGATAATCCTTTCATAGCACATAGCACACTACCTCACCCTAAAACTTACCAGCTTTTATTATAATGTGGGTTAATCAGCTTTCTGTTGCTGTTATAAATACCTGAGATAAATCAACTTATAAAAGGAAAGGCTTGGGGCTGGAGGCATAGCTCAGTGGTAGAGCTCTTGCCTAGAATGTATGAGGCCTTGGGTTTTATCCCCAACTCTGAAAAAAAAAGTTTATTTTAGTTCTGGAGGTTTCTGTCCATGGTGGGTTGGCCCATTGCTTTTGGTCCTGTGAAAAGGCATCATGGTGGGAGTGTGTGACAGTGGAAGCCCTCACCTAATGGTGGCTGAGAGGCAAAAGAAGCAGGCCCAGGGTCCCAATATCCCCTTCAAGGGCATATCTCCAGTGACCAAGCCTAACCACATCCCAAACAGCATCACGACGCTGGGGTCCAAACCTTCAACATGTGGACATTTGCAGGACAGTGAAGGTCCAAACTATAACATAATAACAATTTAAAAGTATATGCTTTAAAAATGGAGTGTAATCTCAGGCTATTTTTTAGCATACTATTATTTCAAATTCTTTGAGTTCAGTCATTTTACAGTCAATTGAACAGAATACTTACAGAACATCTACTAGGTGTAGATGGGGATATGGGTCTTTAGGGATTATCTAACTCATCCCATTACAAGAGGGAAACTGAGGCCTAGAGAGGGCTAAGTGATTTGTCTGTGGTTGTTCTGCTGCAAAGGTTAGCCAAGTGGGCTCTTTTTTCTACCATCTCTCTTCAAATAGCAACATGTGATAATTGCATGAAGACTTGATTAGATGATCTAGTTGTCACCTAACTGTGCCCATTGTATAAAATACCTCCTATATTTAACAGTTTCTTCTAAAGGTAGAATTCTCTTCCCCTTGAGGATGGGCTAAGTTTAGAGATGTTTACACATAAATGAATAGCAAAAATGGTGGAAGAGACAGTGTGAAATTTGGAGACTAGGTCATAAAAGGTCCCCTGCTTGCTCTCTCTCCAGATTACTGGGTCTGGTGGAAGTCACCTGCCTCTGCTGCTTTGCCACAGGTCCAAAAGTAGTGGGGTAACCAACCATGAACAAAAACCTCCAGAACTCTCAGCCAAAATAAACCTTTTTTTTTTTTTTTCTTTTTCAGTGCTGGGGATCAACCCAAGGCCTTGTGCATGTGAGGCAAGTGCTTTACCACTGAGCTATGTGCCCGGCCCAAGCCTTTCCTCTTCATGAGTTGGTTTATCTCAGATATTTGTTACAGAGGCAAGCAGCCTCTGGTGATGCCCACAAGGCCAGGAACCGGACCTCCCCACCAAGGGCCTTGTGAGTGAATTATCTTAGAAGTGGATCCTCCAGCCCCACCCAGTCACAGCTGACTGCAGCCCTGTGCCACTGCGGGATCACAATCTCATGAAAACCCCGAGCAGAACCATCCAGCAAACCACCCCCAGAGTCCTGCCTCTGTAGAACGTGTGAAATAATAAATGTTGTTTTAAGCTGCTAGATTTTGGGGTAATTTGTCATATTATCACTGTTTTTGCTCCTAGTTACCCATTACCTTACATTACAGCATGTTTTCTCTCTCTCTCTCTCTCTTTTGGCCATACTAGGGATCAAGCTCAGGGCCTCACACTTTGCTAGGAACGTGTTCTATTGCTTGAGCCACAATCCCAGTCATTTTGTTTTTACTTTGTTTTTCAGTAGGGTCTTGTGCTTTTGCTCAGGCTGGCCTCAGACTGTGATCCTCCTACATCCTGCCTCTGGAGTAGCTTGGACCACAGGTATGTGCCATCATACCCGGCTATGGCAGTATTTAGGGCAATGTCTGACACATTTTTTTACACTAATATTTTTGCCACATTTATGTTTCCAATTAATTGAGATATAATCCATATACCATTAAATTGACAAATTTTTAAAAATTGTGACTGAACCTCCATAACATTAAACTTAACTGTTTTCACCATTTTAAAGCATACAGCTCAATGGTACTAACTGCATTCATGATGTTGGATAACCATTGTCTCTATGTAGTTCCAGAACTTTCCCTTCATCCCAGGTAGAAGCCCCATAGCCATGGCTGACACAGTTTTTAAAAGATTAATTTTATTTCATTCCTCAAATCTAGAGCAATCAAATAGTAACAAAGGAGAATGAGAATAAACAAAACCTTCTTTCAAAGTAAACAAATACAGAAAGAAATAACATGACTACTTCTAGTAACAACATCTGAACCCTTTGTTTTGTATAAAATATGCAATGTCTAATGAGATTATTCTATTATGGATAGACCAAAATCTCAAATAATGGCTTTTGAACTATTACTCTTTAAAATTCCTTTAAGTCTATGGAATGCAGAACATCTCCAACACACACAGCAATCAAGGATCTCAAGTTGGGGTCAGCTCTTAGGAGTATATAAAGGAGAATCAAATAGATGACATGTAATGGTAGCTTCCAATCTTTTACACAAATGGCCACCAACAGCCTAGGATTAGAAGGCTACAGAAGGATCATCCATCCCTGGTTAGTTCATTCATCCTATCGCTTTGGAGTAAGAGGTGGCATTTTGGCCAGCTATTTGCCAACTAGGAGTTGGTTGGTTGGTGATAGCTGTCATAAGTTCTAGCACCATTTCCTTGCAATAGCCTTATTTTAATATAATACAGGATAGTAGTTACCAGGAATATTGCTGCTGAATTAAAAGATGGCTATACAATAAGGACCTATATCATATTATTTTGTGGTTTTAGTTTCTAGTGTCTAATAAGGAATGGAAATGAAGCTAGACACTAGTGGCTCATGCCTATAATCCTAGCTACTCAGGAGGCAAAGATCATGAGGATAGTGGTTTGAAGCCAGCCCCAGGCAAATAATTCCAGACTCTAAAAGGGCTGGTGGAGTGACTCAAGTGGTAAGAGTGCCTGCCTATCAAGTGTGAGGCCCTGAGTCCAATCCCAGTGCTTAAAAAAAAAAAAAGAATAGAAATGAACATGGTTGGCAAGAGAGTATCTCAGGCAGGCACAGTTCCATTTTGTGCTACTGGAGAGGACATCACAGTCTTGACATGGCATGTTCTGTGACTGCCCAGCTATGTAGGTTATGCTGCAACCCTAGGAGGGGCAGCTTCAGAACAAATCAGCAATGGTTGGAGGATGTTTATATTAGCTTTGTGTTCAGCTCACTGGACTAGCTTCATTCATGGTATGAGACTTTCTCATTTACTCATTTGTTCATTCACTCATTTATTTTCAAAAATGTAGTGAGTGCCTTTTATGTCCCAGGCACTGTCACAGGCCTTGGTAATAAGCAGGGGACAAAGCAGTGTAGCTGATGAAAAACAGTTTTGCACCTGTTTCTCAGAGTTTGACCCTCTTCACAGCTCATCTGGACTGATCCACATTAGTAGGACATTAATGGGCTTGAGAAAGGGTAGCAAGTCAAAGTGTGCATCCTCTTTGCCTGATCCCAGAACCCCAATACAGGGGTAAGTCAGGGAAGAAGAGAAATGTGGATGGGCCCCTCCTCTGTTTTACAAGGCCCGTGTACCAGATGCTTTCCATTTCCTTTGTCAAGTTGCTCACTTCCAATCTCTTACATCAAATTGGTCCTTTCCTGGGGTTTCTCCTCCCTACTCAGGAATAGCAGTGCAACTTGTAATATATTAGGAGATAAAGCCACAGTCATGATAAAGAACTCTATGCAACTTTGCAGAAACCTCACAGATCCACACATCCCCCACCCAGCCCTGGTCTCCCCCATGGGCATGACCAAAAGTGATGCAGCCACCTTTTCCAGGCAGGGTTCAGGAGTGCTTAGAGTGGAGAAAAAAGTGGCCTTCCCAGAGACAGGACATTGGAGGAATGGTAGGAAAAGGGGAGCTGGGGTGGCAGGAAGTTTAAACACAATGAGCAATGGCTGGGGAAAAATGTAGGATAAAAACACATTTCATTATTGTAGAAACCAAAACCAGGGTGTAGGTATATCGCCATATTGACCTTAATAAAACGGACCTTACTCACCATGAGATGAGTGAGTGAGGGGTGAGCAGGGGGTTATTGACATGGAATGCCTGAACGTGATCTTTCACAGACAGGGAGAACCCCCTAGCCAACAGAACAATTAACAATTGTCTGCTTTCTTCATTTGTTAAAAGAAACCTGAGTCACTCCAATAAAACTGGTTATTGGCGGTGGGAAACCTAATGTCTGACTTGTGAGGCAAAAAGAGCCAGCTGCTCCAGCCTCCAGGACTCACTGGAAACTTCCTATGTCAAGTTCCCAGCTGTCCCATAGCTCAGAAAACGTGATGAACCCAGCCACCCCTGCCTCCAGACATGAGCTCCAGCCAACAGCAGGAGCCTTCCTGATTTTGTTGGCTTCTGAAATGCAGTAGGAGTTGAAACTGGACTTTTTGGTGTGATTTATGAACAATAAGAGGGCCAGGTGAACCCATGGAGAAGAACAAAGGTGACGATAGGCTGCATGAGTCAAGGTCTAAGGTCCAGCTTGCAACGGAAAGATGTTCCTGCCTCATCAAAATCCTACATCCAGGGGCCCCACACACCAGTGGCCTTGGGATCGCAGTGGGGGTCCTGCTCAGGGAAGTACACAGGCACTGAGTGTTTCTGGTAGAACTGTAGGCGGGAAAGGAGCTTCCTGACGATGTGGGGATATTTTCTGGACAGGTCGTGTCTTTCTTCTGGGTCCTGATCAATATCAAAGAGCCAGAGGGTCTTGGTTGGTGGGTCCAATGAAGGAAATGCAGAAACATTGGATTGAGACGGTGGAGGGAACCAGGATCCACAGCCTGGCAAAAAAAAACACAAGTGTTTATTGTGGGAGAAGAACACAGGCAGGTTCTAATTTCAGGGAGACTCTGGGGACAAGGCTGCGCTGGCCATGGGTGTGGCATGTGAGAAAGGAGTGGCTGTTGGCGGTGTCTCTAGATTTGTCTCAGAATCTGACTTCCAGTGCTTTAGTGAGACGTGTCTTGCTGTTTTACAAACCAAGGACATCCAGAAATGGTATGCATGTGTGTGTGAGGGAGTATTTTTAGTTGTCACAATGACTGAGAGTGAAGCCTCTTGGTACTTAATAAGCAAGTGCCAATGATGAGAAAATGTCTTGTGATACATAAGACACTCTCAGATGAAGAATTGACATGGTGTATATGCCAAAAAAAGCAAAAAACAAACAATAAAAAGACCAAAAAAATCCCAAACCCTTCTAGCTATCTAACTATTGCTTAATTGCACCATGGCCTTGGCGGTCAGACCCCCTATTAACCAAGAACTGAAAAGATGCTCTTTTTTAGATGATGACCAGGGAAGCAGCCTCCTGCCCTAGCTCACTAATGGCTGAGCGTGTAGCTCTCAGAGATTCTCTGCTAGTGGGATGTGCTATTTACAGCCACATACACCCCAAATCCAGATTTTTCTGTGAAGCATTTGAATGACATTTCCTCATTTTTTTTTAACTTCACTATGGTTAATTCTCAAAACCCAATTATTTTGGTGGTCAGGACCAGTATAAAACAATTCCTCCTCATTCTCTGCTTGTTTGGCAGCCCCAGAGAAATGCTTTACAAAAGGCAGTTGTTTTGTTTTGTGGTAGTTTGAAACTTTCCCTTGCTTTTCTGGTGGGAAAGCCTATGTGGGCCACGTCAACTATGGAAGCTGGGTAATTGGGAACAGGCTGAGCCTTAAAAGCAGGAAAGAAAGCCCTGAATATAGCTGTCTTCTTGTGACACTTATGGGAGGGAGAGTAGAAGGTTTGAAGGGGTCTGAGTAAAGAAAGGGAGGGCTGGGACTTAGTTGCCTTGGGCAGCCAGGTAAGAGGAGACAGGAAGTGGTTAGAACAAGATGAGAAGGTCCTCTCTTTGCAGAGAAGCAGAGGAGAGAACAAAATCCCAAGAGCACAGACAGACTGGAGCTAGCACTAAAGCACACAGCCCTTCCCTGTCTGCAGGAAGGGATGTTGGTTAAGCTAAGCCTTCTACCTGGGTAGCCTGTGAGGAGTTTCCAATTTCCGTGTCTAATTGCAGCATGGACTGATATGTTAAATGATGAATATTCTGGAAGCAAAGAATCATCCTTTGCTGAGGCCCTGCTGTTGCCGGGACCTGGGAAGAAATAGTTTGGAAGAGTTAGATTGCTTTGGACCGTGTCATTATAAATCAGCATTTTATATCCATCTTGCAGAACAGTAGCTTTCATTCAACACTGGCGTACAAATGTGTGCCCTACCACAGAAATGAACCTTTTATTAAATATAAACAGAAAGCTATGGTTACATTAAATGTCAGTCATAAACCACCACAAATATAAAGGAAATCCCAAAGAGATTAGAATACTAATTCATCCCTAAAATCACTGTGTTCTGCCAATGTTTAGACGGCCATGTGCAGAACAGTGTTCTCTTACGGCAGAGGGAGTTTTATTTTACTTTTTTTTGTGTGTGTTTCTTAAATGTGTAAATTAAATCTTTTCTGTGTGTAGTTAGACCTATGTAGATAGTATAATAAATTATAAAATGCACATTTTAAAGGCGTCTATGTCAAACTAGAGCATTTAGAGCATGCCATGAAAATTTCACATATATTTATTTTTAAAGCACACTTATGAAATCTAAAAGTAAGTGATGCTTTTAGTATGTAATGCTCAGTTAGCTATACAGACAGAATAACTATAGGTACAGGAATAAGTTTAGTGTACAAATTTTTGACTGGTTTCACAAATTACATTAATTTATCCTTTCAAGGTCTTGTAGTAATTGATCACCAGGTTTTCGAGGGGAGCAAATATAAATACCAAATCTCTCTTGAGCATGGAACCAATTAAGAGATGTGGGCCAGAGAGATAGAACTAATCATACAGCTTTTGTTACTGATAAGGTCATTTGGAAGAGAACATGGCTCCAAATCCATAATGATAATTGATAATTATTATCAAATGATAATGGTTGGCTCTTGACTTAGAAAAATTTAGCCCCCATCATTGATCTTGCTGGACGGCCACACGGCTCCATCAGGGCATACAGTTCAGGTCAGACTGCTTATATACGACCAGGGCACAAGCTGGCTGTGAACTCAGACCCACAAAACTGAGCATGCTCGGTTCCTTCTTGGAGGTAACTCCTTTCTTCCCCTCAAGCAGGGAGGAGTGTGTATGGTGCAGATTCAAGTTGAGGGGTAGGGATGGATGCCTACAGATGCATATGTAAAAGCCAACTTTGGGCCTCACTGTATAATATTTAGTCTGTTTTAAGTTTACGTTTCTCTGTTAACTTTTCAATCATCTCGGGAGCACTTTAAAAGTGCTGAACTACCAGCCCAATAGCTAATCACCACAGTATGTGGTGTGTATGTAAAGGCACAGACTCCATAAGTGGGGCATGATGGCACATGCCTGCAGTCACAGCTGCTGGGAAGGCTGAGATGGGAGATTTGCTGAGCTCAGGAGTTCAAAACCAGCCTGGGAAACATAGCAAGGCACTACTAGGTCTCAAAAAAAAAAAAAAATGTTGAGAGCGTCCTCCTCTCTGCCAAAGCAGGCATCGGTACTTGCCAGGGTTTTAAGGCAGGGTTCCGTTCTGGAAGTACGGTTAGGGGCAGAGAAGGCATTCATTGTCAGTCTTTGGAAATGACCCTGTAGAGACATGTGGAGACTGAGCCAATAAACACCACTGGTTTCAGAGCTTCAGCCTTAAAAATCATACACCAATAAATCTTTAGCCCCCTCAAGGAAAATCTTTTTGACTTTTTTGCTTGACTGCCTGTGGACAGCTTGGCTCTAACACAAAGGATACTCCTAGTGATGGAGGTGTGAGGGATCTATGATAGGAAGTGGTCTCTGCGTACACAGACTGTCAAACCGTGAATGCTCATGAACTACTCCTCACAAGGCCATGTTTTCATACCAAAGAATGTTAAATAAAACAAGCATGCTTTGTGAATATAAGCAAAAAAAAGGAAACAGCTATTGCAGCCCTACTTATATTTATAGACACCTTTTCCTGAAAGCAAACAGGAACATAAAATATCTAAACAATAAATAGTCTAAGACTAAGCAATGAAAGATACTATTATCTTAACTTTATTTTTTTGAGAATGTAAAGAGAAAAACAACAAAGAATAATATAACTAACACAATATAACCATCATCCAGAATAAGCAGAGGTCAATATTTTGCCATATTTTACAAAGATGGAATAGAAGTCTCCTTTGTCTCTCTCCTGGGTTCAGGTCTCCACCTACCCCCTCCTGCCCTCCTTCACAGGCCGCTGCACTCATGGCTTCAGTTATCATGGCTTCAGGGCATTCCTCAGCTCTTTTCAAATACGTGAATGTATATATAGTACTGATTTATACGTTCAAACTGTACCTGCAAGTTATATTCTACACATCCTGCGCGTTCCTCTGCCATTCACTGTTGTGTTTAGAGTTCTGTGATTATGCATGTGCACATTTTCCTCTCAACTGTTTAATATCACCACATAAAAATATCATGTTTTATTTATTGATTACCCTGTTGATAGGCACTTGGGTTGTTTAAATTATTATTGTCCACATTTCCCTGTGGACGCAGGGTCTTTGGGTAGAAGTAGAACAGTCCAGTTGCAACGTACATAGATTTCCAACCTTACAGCACACATCATTGGCTCTCCCACTGGTAATGGCTCCATTTCTCCACATCCCATGCCTAATGAGTATACTGATACTTTCAGATCTAAAACTTCTTATCTATCTAAAAATTTTTGAAAGAAGCTTCATCCTTTAAAACATTTAATCAGCAAGAACTTATGTTCTTCTCTGGCAACCCAGAGGTTGCTATAAAATTACTTTAAAAAAATACTATAAAGAAAAGTACACAAGTCACAATTATGCAGCTTGATGATCAGTGATGTGTCCTCTATAAACAACAGTCTAATCAAGAAGCAGAACACTGCTAGGACTCAGGACTCAGGACCCTGTCAGAGCCCAAGCGTGCTACCTTCTCTCCCAAGGCACCTGGTGTCCCAACCGAGCAGCAGAGATACTTTTACCTGCTTTTGAACTTAATGTGAGTGCAAACTGCACAACACATTGCTCTGATTTCTGGTTCCTTTTGATCTGCTAGTGTTTATGATTCATCTACATCATTGGAATTCAGCCTATTTCTAGTACTTCATTCATTTTCATCATTGGATAGTATTCTATTGGTGAGAATTCCATGAACTCCGCTTACATTTAGATTTAAAACCTACCTGGAATTGATCTTTGGCTAAGCAGTGAGGTAGGAATCAAGATTTATTTTTCTAATAAGGCTTTTAACTAACCAACACCATTTATTGCAAAGATGGTGCTTTTCCCACTCATGTGCACTGACACCTTTGTCAAAACCTAGTTCCACAGCGGGTGGGGAGCACCACCATCCAGTGGTGGTGTCCTATGTTGTGGCACTGGCCACACGTGACAGAGAGCATCTGAAATGTGGCTGGTGCTGCTGAGGAGCTGTCTTTTTATTTGAGTGGCTGTTAGTTCGTTAACACTGTCATGCATGGCTAGTGGCTACTACACTGGGCAGCACTGTCCATCCTGTCCCCATGGACTATCGTCCATCCTTGTGCTAATACCACCCTGTCTTATCTCCTGTAGATTGGTAATCAGGCTTTCTGTCTGGTGGCGTATGTCCCCCTCGTTTGCTGTCCTTCAAGATTTATGTCATCATCCTTGGTGTTTTGAATTTTCAATATGTATTTTAAGATCAGCTTGTCAAGTTTCACAGAATGCCTGCTGGGATGCTGATTAGGATGAAACTGACTCTAGTGATCAACCTGGAGCTACTGGTACTTAAAATATTGAGTCTTATAACTAATGAATATAGTAGATCCTGACTTTTATTTCAGCTTTTTTTTTTCCTTAATAATATTTAGGATTTTCTGAATGGACAGCATCTTTTGTTAGGCTTATTCATAGTTGGTTGATGTTTTCTGATACAATTGCAAATAATATTTTAAAATATATTCCATATCCTATTCATATGTTTGTTGTTGCTGTAGAAAAATAAAATTGCTTTTTTAATATATTGCTTTTTTAATATATTGACCTTGTATCCAGTTACTTTACTAAATTCATTTCTTTGGATTTTCTACGTATGCTATCATGTCACCTGTAAATAATCACCTGTATATCTTCACATCTTTTATTCTCTTTTCTTACCTTATGACATTGGACAAAACCTCCAATACAAATTTGAATAAAAGTAGTGATAGCAGGAGTTTCACAAATGAAAATACTCTGTTAAGTATGATCTCCATATAAAATTTTTATAGATATATTTTATCACATTAAAAAGATCTTTTCCATTACCAATTTACTAAGTTTTTTCTTAATATGAATGTGTGTTAAAGTTTCCCATATGTTTTTTCTGTATATAATAATAATATATTTTCTGATCTTTTAATGTAATGAATTGTATTCACTGGTTTTTTCCTTTCTTTTTGGTGGTACCAGGGTTTAAACTCAGGGCTTCGTGCTTGCTAGATAGGCATCCTACCACTTGCGCCATATTCCCAGCACTTTTGCTCTGTTATTTTGGAGACAGGGTCTCACTTTTGTGATCCTCCTGTTATGAGCTTCATGTGTTGCTATGAGGACATGTGTGTGGCACCATGCCAGGCTTTTTACATTGAGATGGGGTCTCACAAATTTTTTTTTGCCCAGGCTGGCCTGGAATGATGATCTTCCAATCTCGGCCTCCTGTGTAGCTTGGGTGACAGGAGTGTACTGCAGCACCATCTATTGTTTGAGATGGAGTCTTGCAAACTGTTTGCCCAGGCCTGCTTCAAAACACAATTCTCCAAATCTCAGCCTCCCAAGTACTTAGGACTATAGGTGTGAGCCAGTGGTGCCTGCCTATTTAGTAATTTTTAGATGCTAAATCAACTCTGCATTTCTAGAATAAATGAACTCCTTTTAGCTACAATATTTGTTCCTTTTAAATATGTTGCTTTCACATTTAGTTTAGAATTTTTACATCGATGCTTGACACAAAAATTGGTCTATAATCTTTCTTGAAGTGTTCATTATCTTGTTTTTGAACCAAGATTATATTGGTCTTAGGACTGGTGATGTGACTCAATGGTAGAGCACTTGCCTAGCATGTGTGAGGTCCTGCACCACACACAAAAATTATATTAGTGTTAATTACTGCATGCTTTCACTTATAGGTAAAAGCTAAAACACTGATTTCCAAGTAGCAAATAGGATAGTGGTTACCAGAGCCTGGAAAAGGTGTGGGAGAGAAAAGGGTGGGGACAGGATGGTTAGTGGCA